TTATATTTACCTGGTTGTATAATTTTTAGAGACATCATGTTGAACATTTAAAAATAATTTTACTTGTCACAATACGTCGATCTACAATATTTAACAGACCACAATTACGTATGACCTAACACTAAATTTCTTCGTCTTAAACTGTAACAACTTATGACTTATTTCTTTTCACAATAAAATCTTACATAAGTACAATATAGTTCTTCAATATACCAGCGACATCTGAGGTATCAGATAATAATATATAATATGAAGATAATATATTTGCAATTGTTCCGCTATCGCATGAACGTAGTTTTAATCGCTCGTCGTGCATGCCCGTGAACGTAGCTTTAGGGCGATCTAATCTGGTGTCATGTGGCGCATCGTAGTGTGAATGTTAAAACGCGCCAAATTCAAATTGTACAGCGGTGTAGCCGAAGCAATGAACAAAAGAACTCAAAACATATACATACAGTGTACAGTAAATCTCATTGATTGCTTGTTATTGTGTTATGAATAAAACATTGCTGAGGTGTAAAACACTCGCTTTAAAGGAAATATGTATTGATAAACGAATGTTGAGAACCAATCAAATTCATCCTTAAATAACTTTATATAAAATCTTTAGTTTAATTGGTGAAGATTGTTTTAACAAAAGCATGTAAACATTATAAATAATAGTCAACGACGCCTGAACAGGCAATTCAATTTTCTTCGTTCAAAGAGTTCAGACGTATTATCTCGTAATAAAGTTATAGTTAAACATTTCGTTAATTATTGTTCCAATCAAGTTATTTATTAGTTTATTAAAAGTTTCAACGTTAGTTTTCCTTATTCATTAAATTTCCTAAACTATCGTGAGCAGAGTACTTCAGTGCTCCACGGGCGATAATTCCCTCAAATTCCCCAAGAAGCGGGCTCTACGCGCGCTCTAATTGGCCAGTGTTTTTCGTTAATAATTCAAAAATGATGCTTCAAACAACATTTTGGTAAAGGAAAAAGTTGTTCAGAGTCACCTCAGC